GGAGGGGGTGGGGAGGCGCTGGAGCCCTCAGTCGGGGTGCGGGGGCCGAGGGTCAGGGCACCATGTGCCACCATTTGAAGGGGAAGGGCTTCCTGCGCACGTTCGTGCCACAGTGCACCTCCCCCAGAAACTTGTGGTAGGCTGAAATGTCGTCGATGAAGGTGCAGGACAGGCCCAGGGGCTCCAGGAGGCTGCGGACGTGGCTCTCCAGGCAGCATTCCTCTTCCACCTGGGGCCCGAATGGCTTGGGGATGCCCAGGTCCTTGTCCAGCACAATCATATTCACCTGGGATAGGGAGGAGACAACAGGGCAGTAGGCGGGGGATGATCGCCATTTAGGGAGCAGCTACCATGTGTCTGCCTGCCCTAAACTCCTTGAAGCCTGGCCTGGATTCTACAAAGAAGGTTCTAATGGGGAAACAGGCACAGAGCAAGGCTAAACAACAGATCATAAACAATAGGCTGAAGTGGAGCACCAAAGGAACTGCCCCTCTGTGTATAATAGCCCTCATATGTGTGTTCACATGTGGGTGTCCACAGTGTCCACATGTGCCCAGTATGTGCAGGTGTGTTCACGTGGACACAGATACAGATGAATGTGTATTGATTTAGTCACTTTCTATCTTGTGGAGACTTCTTCCTGTATGGTAGCAAGATCCTTCCTGTAAGCCTGGTGCCTGTCATCCTAGCTACTCAGGAGGCTGAGACCTGAGGATCTTTGTTCAAAGCCAGCTTGGGAAGGAAAGTCTGTGAGACTTTTATCTCTGATTAACCACCAGAAAACTGGAAGTGGTGCTGTGGCTTAAAGTGGTAGAGTGCTAGCCTTGAGCAAAAGGAGCTTAAGCCTTGAGTTTGAGCCCCAGAACTGGCACACACACACACACACACACACACACACAAAACAGGATTTCTCTTGTACAAAGACTTTCCCCCGCCCCTTTTGCAGTACTTTCTTAGCTATTAATGCAAAAGGTTCTCAGTACCCCATGGCACTTAGGACAAACCTATCTCTCCTGGGAGGGAATGGAGGAGCTCAGAGAGGGCAAGTACCTGGGTAAGGCCATAGGATAGCTCAGCCTGGGCTGGACCCTAGGCCTCCAAATTGGGCTGCCTTAGCCAGGTCTTTGTGCATCTGGCTGCCCTACCTGGCATGCACAGTCAGAGGGTTGGGTCTGCAGGGCTCACCATGTTTGGGAAGAAGGCTCGGGCCTGGCGGTCCTCGTCCATCTTGAACAGGGCCGGCAGGTCAATGATGTCATGCTCTTCCAGTCCCAGCTCCTTCTTGAGGATGTCCCGGTTCCAGTCCAGACAGCGCTGGGGGCGAGGGGGAGAAGCACAGGGAAGAGGCGTACTTGCTGCTCACTGTCCAGCTGCAGAGACAAGCTGAGGGTACTCCCCTCCCCGCCCCCCGTGCTCTCCACTAGTGTCTGGGGCAGCAGAGATCCTAGCAGCTTCTGCCACCTGCCAAGTGCCCACCTGCCAAGGGCCACCCTGCGGCCCAGCTTCCCCGTGGCTTTCTCCGTGGCATCTCACAACCCTAACCCCCACCCCCCCAACCAGGGGCCCCACTGATGTCGACTTTGCTGAGAACAGCATGCGGAAGGGGCACAAGCCTGGCACTGCCCCATGCGCATTGCCTGGCCAGCTTATTTAAGCTGCAGTCCTCGAGGGAGACCCTGACCCCTGCTTTAGAGATGAGGACCAGAGGCCAATCACCCAGGGTCCTATTATTGAAAGGAAGGGCTGTCATTTAACCTCACATCTCCCTGGTGCCAAGACATGAACACAGAGGAACCCACCTTGGGTAGCCAGTGGGGTGTTTGGGTGAACATCAGTGGTACCCCACCCCAGCCCCTCTCTCCCCATGACCCCAGGTCACTGGATCAGACTGGCCCCATTCTAAGAAAGACTAATCAGAGGACTCTTATCTCTATTTTTGCTCTAGTGATTGAATCAGGGAGGGACAGTGGTCAGTACTAAGCAAATCTCTGTGGACTCCTCCCTGTGGCCCCCCTCCCCCTGCTTAGTTCTTGGTGTAGGTTGGCTCAGACTCTTGTTCAATAGTTTGGGTGGGACACATGAGCACTTTCTTGTGGATGGTATGAGGCCTTGCACGATCACAGCCATGAGCCTACCATGTAAGAGACCTGCAGAGACCAACAGGTGTAGAAAAATGGGGCTGCAACTCTGATCAACCTGTGCCTGAAATCCATGCTACTTCTGTGAGTCACTTATACCTTCTTGAATGGAGTTTTTGGTTATTTTTTTTTGGGGGGGGTCCAGTCGTGGGGCCTGAACTCTGGGCCTGGGCACTGTCCCTCAGCTCTTCAGTTCAAGGCTAGTGCTCTACCACTTGAGCCACAGCGCCAGTTCTGGCTTTTTTCTGATCAAGATTTAAAGCCAGCTTATGTGGTGCTGAGGAATCGAGCCCAGGGCCTTGAGCATGCAAGGCAAGTGCTCTACCACTGAGCCACCTTCCTATCCCCTGGTTATTTTTTTTTAAATAAAAACTAGGTTCTCTACAATACACTCATACAAATACACAGAGACTTAATTCATTCCTATTTCTGGATGCAACCTTTGAGACTTATGAGGTCAGAGGTGGGACCTGTACCTGGGACCTGTGCTAAAAAACCCAAAAGGTCAGGGCCTGTGCTCATGCGAATATTTTCCTGGAGAGCACAGCTTGTAGCCTTGTTACATTTTACAGTGTGTATCTTGCCCCAAAGGATAGGATGGGCTATAGTCTTTGGCACTGCTGGCACAATGGCTTTCTTCCCAGGTCTCTGCTCAGAAAGATTTTGTGAGTCCTTCACCCTTTACCTTGAGCCCAGGATGACCAGAAGGAGGAAGAGGCAACCAGTAGGTACTGATGGAGACACCCGGCCCCCTCACCACCCCGTCCCCAGGCCTCACCTGGAAGTACTGGTTCTCCTGCACCAGGCTCTCATTGGACAGGATCTTGTTGATGGTGATCCGCTTGCTGCCCATGCCCGCCAGTCCTGTGCGGGTGGGAGAGGATGGGCTGGGTGTTCTGTCCCAGGCCCCCTCTGCCTGGGGCAGCCAGCACACATTCCTTTTCCTAGGGTTGGCTGTGTCCCCTGAGCCAGGACAGAGGAGTAGACACCTCACTCTCTCTCTCTCTGGCTGGTAGCAGAAGTAGTGACCTGGTTCTGCTGGCCAACTGGGTGTGGCAGAAGCAGACTTACCTTTCCCCATGCACAGACACACCTCTGCTCACCCACCAAGGAAAGGACCTGCCTGTCCACCTCGCTTCTTCCCTTCCCTTCCCTTTTTCCTGCCTCCCTCCCTCCCTCCCTTCCTTCCTACCTTCACCCTTCTCTTCTTTCTCCTTCTTTCCCCCCTCCCCTCCCCTTCTTCTCTTTCTCCTTCTCTCCCTTTCTCCCTTCTTCCCTCCCTCCTTCTTCTCCTATTTCCTTCTGGGGGCCATGACTCACACTGTAATCCTAGCCACTCAGGAGGCTGAGATCTGAGAATCAAGATTTAAAGCCAGCCAGGGCAGACAAATCTGAGAGCCTCTCTTCTTCAATTAGTCAGCAAAAAGCTGGAAATGGAGGTGTGGCTCAAGTGGTAGAGTGCTAGCCTTGAGAAGCTAAAGGACAGCTTAAGACTCTGAGTTCAAGCCCCAGTACCAGCACAAAAATAAACAAGTGGGTAATGGAGATGGGTGATTGTTACAATTATGTATTCATGTCCCTGAATTATATACTTAAAAGGGGTGAAATGACAGACAGGCTAGGTGGACTTTACCACAATAAAATAAAGGAATGAGACGTGCCATGGCCTCTGGAGCCTGGCTGGGTGTCTCTGCCTGATCAGCTTTCTCCTTCGCATGATTAATTTAGATGCACAGCTCATCTCACCCTGTCTGCCCCAGTTACACGGATGGCTCAAGGAGGCAGCTCCCCCACAGTGTCTGAGCCTGGGGAATGTGCGCAGCACTGGCCTCAGCCCACGCTCTGTCTCCTCTCCCTTTCTAGGGCTGGGGTGAACTCAGAGGCCCAGTGCTGGCCCAGCATGCGTGAGGCTCTGTGTGCCATCCCTGGCACCGCCAAAGCAACATAACTCTCTTTCTAAAATACAAGCTTCTTAGCCAGGCACCAGTGGGCTCACACCTGTAATCCCAGCTATTCAGGAGGTTGAGATCTGAGGATCATGGTTCAAAGCAGGGAATTCCATGAGACCCTTATCTGCAATAAGCCAGCAAAAAAAGCTGGAAGTGGAGTTGTGGGTCAAGTGGTAGAGTGCTAGCCTTGGGCAAACAGCTCAGGGACAGCACCCAGGCCCTGAGTTCAAGACCAGGACCAGTACACACACACACACACACACACACACACACACACACACACACACACACACGCTTCTGGGTGCAGATCGTACACCAGCTGGTGCTACTAAACTGTTCACTAGGTCCTGTGAAAGCTCTTTATGGGTTGGTGACAGGAATTGGTAAGGAAAGTCAGATGCTCTTCCTGGGTCTCCAGAAGGGACATGAGAACCCAGTGTTGCTTCTTGCCCCAGTGGCCTCACAGACCCTAGGGTGGACCCCAGGCTTGGGGAGTGGGGCCCACACTCGGGGACCAGGTGCTCATGGGCCCAGCTCTTGGCCAGGCCTGGGACCACTCACCTTTGAACATGACTGCCTCCCCGTGGCCTTCTTTCTGCTTTTCTCGGAACAGCTTGTAGCAGGCTGAGGTGCTGGCCATGAGCATTCGAAATCCCTGCAGGGAGAAAGGCGGGGGTGTGGTTCGGTGTTGGGGGTGTGGGGAGGGCCTGGCCCTGGCTGCATGGGCAATGGACACCGGGGAGGGTTTTGTTCCTCCTCCAGGGCTGTTTCCCTTCCTTCCTCCATCTCACCAGTGTCCTGGGAGCAAAGCTCAGGGTCGAAGATGGCATTGAAGGGATGGAAAGAATTCTCTAAGTTGTCAAGAGGCTGGGCTATTGCCCGGGGCCCATCCCTTTCACTGGGTAAAAGAGAAACGTTTGTCTGCCATGCAGGTGCTGGTGACTCAAACCCACAATCCGAGCTACTCAGGGGGCTGAGATCTGAGGATCAAGGTTTGAAGCCAGCCTGGTCAGAAAAGTCTATGACACTCGTCTCTAATTAACCACCAAAAGCTGGAAGTGGAGATGTGACTCAAGTGGTAGAGCATCAGCCTTGAGAGAAAAGGCCAAGTGAGAGAGAAAGTCCAGAATTTAAGCCATAGTACTGGCATGTGCACACGTACCTGCCCCCCCATCCCCTTGCCTCCCCGTCCCCAACAGCGTATCTACCACAACCACAACATATAAACTGGCTTCAGCCTACATCCTCCTTCCTATATGGCACCTAGATCCTGCCCTCTGCTGAGAAGGGCAGGTAGCACAGGGGTTCCCCACAATCCCATTCACTCTACTTTTGGGGACTAGCTCACCTTTGTGCCTGGGATGGGGACGAAGGTCATGAACTCGTCCACGTGGCCCACGGCTAGCCAGTCCGAGTACAACTCCACAGGCGCCTGTACCTGCTGGGCCTGCAGAAAGTCACGCACCACCTTGGTCATCCTGCGGCCACCGGACCTGGGTGTAGATGGAGAGGGGGAAAGTCCTTCAGCCAGCTGCCCTCTCCCTGGCCTGTTGCACCAGGGGTCCTGGAGGAGGTGCTCAGCCTCTGGGCCCTGAACGGAGACCCGGGCCCCTACTCAAGAGGATGGGGGGGGGAATGGGCCACAGCAAAGCCGTAGGAAGGCGTGGAGCCCAGCCTTCAATGTCCAGGATGCTTGTGAGTATGGCAGAGCCAGCTTCTGTGCTCAGAGCAAGGAAACTGATGTTTGGAGTCTGCGCCGACGCTCTGCCCTCTGCCCCACCAGCTTATACTCACATTAATATATTTTGTGTGGCGGTACTAGGGTTTGAACTCAGGGTGTTGCACTTGCTAGACAGACACTCTGATCCTTGAGCTATGCTTCCAGCCCTTGTTACTTTAGTTTTTCAAATAGGTTCTCTGTCTTTGCTTGGGCTGACTGGGACTATCATGGTGGGGATGAGAGTTGTGAATCACTGAATCTAACTATTGGTGGAGGTGGAGATGGTAGGGGCAGTGGGGGCGGGGGGGGCTGGGGATGTCTCAGAAACACTTTTGCCTGGCCTAGCCTTGAACCTTGATCCTCCTAATCTTTGTCTCCTGAGTAGCTAACATGATAGGTATGAGCCACAGCGCCTTGTTTTTCTCTGTAGTATTTAAATCAATCCAAGCGATACCACCTCCGGGAGCCGCTCCTGATTTCTAGCCTCTGGAGTCCTTCCATCTCCCCATCATCTGTAGACTATAGCCCAAGGCCCCTATGGCAGCCAATAAACCCCATGTGGGCGGGTTGCTGCCTGGTCCTCTGGCCTCACCTGCTTCTCCTCCTCCTGGCTCTGTTTGCTCTAGTGCCTGTGGCCCAGGGCATCATTGTTGCTGTTTAGACGCCCCCCTTCCCATCTTTACCATGGCTGGTTTCCCTTGCAGTGGCTACCCTCAATACCTGAGTCTAAGTTAAAGTGCCTTGTGCCAGTAGCCCTTCACCACACCTGTTAGCACCCAGAATGACTTATTTACCTGTTTCTACCTTTCCCTGGCTGAACCACCCCCCGTCCTGCCCCCAGAGCTGAGTCTTTGTGTTTGGTCAGTGTTGTATCCCTGGAGCTTGGGACAGTGCCTGCCAGAGTGGGTCTTTCTTGATAATGATCTGACTTTGAAGGAGCCTTTAAACCCTCCAAGGGGTCTGTGGCCACACCTTGGGCACCCCTACTTCCTACTACTGTCCTGTAGTTCTCAGCCCTCAGATTTACCACTTTCAGTTCACATGGCTTCCTTCCTCCCTCCCTCCCTCTCTTTCTCTCCCTCTCCCTCTCCCTCCTTCCCTCTTTCTGTCTCTTTCTGTCTGTCTTTTTCTGTGTCTCTCTGTGCCTCTGTCTATGGATTGTAGTGCTTGAACTCGGCCTGGGTGGTGTCCCTGAGCTCTTCAGCTCAAGTCGAGCACTATCACTTGAGCCACAGCGTCACTTCCAGTTTTTTTGGTGGCTAATTGGATATAAGAGTCTCATGGACTTTCCTGCCCAGCTGGCTTTTTGGGTCCGGTCGTGGGGCTTGAACTCTGGGCCTGGGCGCTGTCCCTCAGCTCTTCAGCTCAAGGCTAGCACTCTACCACTTGAGCCACAGCGCCACTTCCGGCTTTTTTTTTCTTTTGCTTATGTGGTGCTGAGGAATTGAACCCAGGGCCTCAGGCTTGCAAGGCAAGCGCTCTACCACTGAGCCACCTTCCCAGCCCTGCCCAGCTGGCTTTGAACCAAGATCCTCAGAGCTCAGCTTCCTGAGTAACTAGGAATTACAGGCATGAGCCTGCCTTCCTCCCTCCCTCCCTCCCTCCCTCCCTTCCTTCCTTCCTTCCCTTCTTTCTTTATCTGAACTCAGGGCCTCTGGCTTACTAGAAGGTACTTTATCACTTGGGCCATGCCCACACGGCACATCAGTTTGCATGTCTGTGGTCTCTACCAGCTCCTTAGAAGGCAGAGGTGGGCATGGCATTTGGCTGGTGCTCAGGAAATAGGTGCTGAGTGGACATGTGACCACTGAGTGGGGAAGAAGAGTGGGAGGGCTGTCACTGCCACGTCCCACGGGAGGAACTTGGTGCTCATCCTGGCAATCCACTGTGCAGGTTTCCCACATCCTTTTTTTCAAAACAAGTACCTCCCCAGGGACTGCCCTAAGAATCTGCCTTTCCATTGGCTGGTGGCTAAGTGGGCAAGGAGTGAGGGTACTGAGAATATTGAGATCAGGCCAAGGAGACGGGACTCATGCCTGTGGGGTAGGCCTTGTCTTCGTATCCGTTATCCACTGGTGGGCTCCTGCTCACCTCTACTCCTCCGCCTCTACCCCACCGGCTTGATAATCTCACTGTGCATCTTCCCATGTGATTTTACATTAGATCCTAATTTATACTAAGGTGTAAAGACTAACTTGATGTTCTTTGTGAGAGTGGGACAGAGAGTTATGGGTAATCTTCCAGTTCCTCACATCAACCATGAGCAACCCAGGCCACCCCTACAGAGAATCAGTCACCCTCCCGCTCCTGCTGCCCCCGGCTCTGGCCTGGCTTCTCTTACAGAGGAAAGCTGCTTCCGATGAGGATCCGGCCCAGAGGGTATGGCTTGCCATTCACGGTCACTGGGGGGCTGACCTCCAGGTTTCCGAAGGAATCAAGGCTGGTGACAGGCTCAAAGAGGGGCTCCCGGGTCACGTAGCCAAAATCTGGGCCCTGGGCAGAGGGCATAACACATACTGTCAGTCTTTGGCAGTCAGGAGCCATCAGCCCCAAACAGCCACCCTCTCCTGGCACCTGCAGTCAGGAGTGATGCCTGGTAGAGTGTTTGTGAGTGTGTAGTGGTCTGTGTGTGTGTGTGTGTGTGTGTGTGTGTGTGTGTGCAGTACATGCATGTGTGCATGCATGTCTGAGTGTCTCTCTGCCCCAGATATACAATAGTGACTTCAAGATGAGCTCTCATACTTGATATCTGTCCCTGCTCAGATATCTTAGACCCTTGATTTCCCCAGCTGCAAAAAGAGGTATTTGATGAGGTGACCCAAGGCAGGAAGTAGATTGGATGGATGATTGCTCTAGGGATTGGAGAAGTCCTGCCTCCTGACCCATAGCACACACATGACTTCTGACTTCTGCTTTCTCTGTTCAGAAGGAAAGGAATGTACCTCCGGGGCCAGCATCAGGGTCACGTGACTTCCTTTGGCCAATGAGATACAAACAGAACGGATACCCGCCAATTAAGAGCCACTGTGTGGGTCTGCCCACTTTTCTTCCTCTTTCTCCTGGCCTGGGAGAGTGGCATTTGTCAATCAGGGCTGCATCTTAAATGGAGGCTCCAGACCAGCCAGCTCATGCAGGGGATGCAGGCCAGAACGAGGCCCTGGTGTGGGGCTTGTCAGTGTGGCCTCAGTGCCAGCTGATGGATGCGAGCAGGAATGGCACCAACATCATGGACATGCTGCTCAATGCACCCTAACCATCACACATGTCCACAGTGCCCAGAAGAGCACTAGGACCTCCTTAGCACAGTGCTAACTACAGCTGGCACATGGGAAAAAAACACCCCACTGGCTCCCTGAATGTTAAGTTCCTTTCATGATTTTTGGGGGGGTGGGGGATGAAAACATAGGATCCCACAGGCTGGGGTGCAGCTCACCTGACAAAAACCCTTGGTAAGCCAGGCACCAGTAGCTCAGGCCTGTAATCCTAGGGACTCCAGAAGCTGAGATCTGAGGATTATGGTTCAAAGCCAGCCAGGGTAGGAAAGTTTATGAGACTCTTACAACCAATGAGCCAGCAAAAAGCCAGAAGTAGATGTGTGTCTCAAGGGATAGAGTACCAGTGCTGAGCAAAAACCGCTAAGGGACAGCACCCAGACCCTGAGTTCAAACCACAATACTGGCGTGTACACACACACATACACCCCTACCACCACACCACACAATAATCTCTATTTTAAAAAACAACAACAAACTGGAGTGTGTGAGGCTGTGGCTGGTCCTGGCCCCGCTGAGAGGCTCAGGCACAGGCGTGCCCCATGGGGCGGATGGCGGCAGCTTAGCACTTTCTCGCCTGGGCCCTGGCGAGGTAAAGCGGGGCTGGCAGCTGGGGTTTGTCGGCATCGCCTGAGCTGCAGAACAAAGCCAGGGCTGGCCCTGCCTCCAGGAACAATGTGGCACGGGTTTTGGAACCCTGAAAGCAGATGGTGGCCCGGGGAGGGGAGGGGGCAGGAAGCTTCCCCCCTTATGCCTGTTATCTGACTCAACTCTCCACGGTGGACACTCAGCCCACCCAGACAGCATTCAGGGCTGAGCAAGCCACTACAGCAAGAATGGTCATTGTGTAGCCTTGAGCAAAAGAAGCACCAGCATCGACCAGCCACCCCCCCCAAATGGTTGTTATATCATGTGATGCTCAGAACTCATTCTGTGAAGACCCATACCATTTTTCTTCCCACTTCACAGATGGGCAAACTGAGGCTCAGGGAGTTTGTTTTTAAGCTGTTTGCTCAAGGTTCCCACTTCTGTTTTGGGGACTGGATGCTCCAGACCAGGTCCCTGTGAGGATCCAGAGCCACTGGCTGAGGGGTGAGGCTGAGGACACTTCTCAAAAGAGGCAGTACAAGCCAGGCACCGGTGGCTCATGCCTATAATCCTAGCTACTCAGGAGGCTGAGATCTGAGGATCTCGGTTTGAAACCAGCCCTGGCAGGAAAGTCCAGAGACTTTTATCTCCAATGAACCACCAGAAAACTGAAAGTGGTGCTGTGGCTCAAGTGGTAGAGAACTAGCCTTGAGCTAAAGAGCTCAGGGATAGCACCCAGGCCCAGAGTTCAAACCCCATGCTCTAAATGAAATCCTCCTGTGCTGGTGCCAGACTTGGAGGTCCTCCCTGCTTGCTCTGCAGTTGGGGCCACGAGTTAGAAACTTGGCACAGCTCTAAGTTGTAGGGTGGGACTCCCAGCACTGAATCCTGCCTGGTCTCCCATGGTTTCCGATCTCCCTGGGACGCTCCCTACTCCCTGCCCCGGAACACCTCAGTCATCAGGGCAAGAAAGGACCAAGGACCTCTGAGGCCACTCCCAGACGCCCATCTCACAGTTGAGCAGACAGAGGCCCCAGCCTCTGCTTGGTAGGAGTCCCCAGTTGTTCCTCCCCCCACCCCAACCCCCCCCCCCCCGCCCCCCCCCCCCCCGTAGCTCTTGGCATCTCACCAGGAGCTGCTTAATGGGGAAGTCCTTCAGGTTCCCATCTCGGGGAGAGTCCAGCACCACCGGAAAGCCTTTGTGGGGAGCCTCAATGTAGCCAAATTCAATTTCATCCTGTAGGGACACCAGAAAGAACTGTCATCCGGGAGGGTGTGAGGGGAGGGTGTCGGGGAGAATAGAGGTCCCCGTGGGGAAGGCTTGGGGACAAGTAGGTAATCTGTGCACTTAGACCAACAACAAAAAAGCACAAATGAGCTAGCTGGGTATGGTGGTGCATGCCTGTAGTCTCAACATTCAGGAGGCCAAGGCAGGATAAGCAAGAGTTGGGTTACATTGTGAGACCCTGCCTCAAAAAAAGAAAAAAGAAAAGAAAAAAGAAAGAAAAAAGAAGGAAAGTTAATTTAAAAATAAGCACACATTCACAGAGTGAAAAGTATACATTCTTTGTGCGCCTCCCCCGACTCCATGCCCCCCCCCCCGCCTACCTCCCCCCCTTCTCTCACAAGCAAATCCATATTCCCGCAGATGCTGGGCATGCCATAAGCTTGTCTCTTTTTTATTAATTATTTTTTATTTTTTTTTGTCGGTCGTGGGGCTTGAACTTTGGGCGTGGGCACTGTCCCTCAGCTCTTCAGCTCAAGGCTAGTGCTCTACTGCTTGAGCTACAATGCCACTTCTGGTTTTCTGGTCGTTCATTGGAGATGAGTCTCACGTACTTTCCTGCCCGGGCTGGCTTTGAACAGCGATCCTCAGATCTTAGCCTCTTGAGTAGCTAGGATTACAGGCATGAGCCACTGGCGCTTGGCTATGAGCTTGTCTCTTAAGCCCATGGATCCCACTTTTAAAAACAAAGACTGGAAAGTGGAGCTGTGGCTCAAGTGGTAGAACATTAGTCATGAGGGAAAAAGTTAAGGGGCAGTGTCCAGGCCCTGAGTTCAAGCCCCAATACTGGCACAAAACAAAAGACAAAAAAACCCTCCGAAAAACAATAAACAAAAATCAGGTGGGTTGGGCACTGGTGGCTCACACCTGTAATTCTATCTATTCAGGAGGCTGAGACCTGAGGATCGCAGTTTGAAAGCAGCCTGGGCAACAAAGTGCATGAGACTCTTATCTCCAATGAACAGCCAGAAAACCAGAAGTGGCGCTGTGGCTCAAAGTGGGAGAGCACTAGCCTTGAGCAAAAAATGCTAGGCCCTTAGTTCAAACACCACAGCTGACAAAACCAAAACCAAAACACAGATGGCACCATCCTGAACACACGTTCTGGCAAATAACAACTTAAGGCAGCCAAATTGTTCATTCTTTTTCTTTTCTTTCTTCCATCAGCCGTGGGGCTTGAACTCAGGGCCTGGATGCTGTCTCTAAACTCCCCCCCCCCCACCTCCCCTTCAGGAGTAGCTCTCTACCACTTTGAGCCACAGCACCACTTCAGGTTTTCTGGTGGGTAACTGGAGATAAGAGTCTCACAGACTTTCTTGTCTAGACTGGCTTTGAACCGTGATTCTCAGATCTCAGTCTCCTGAGTGGCTAGGATTACAGGCGTGAGCCACCAGTGCAGGGTTATACATTCCTTTGAACTGTTGCACAGTACTCTGAGGTAAGGCTGCCCTCAGGCCCCTTTTGTTGCCACAAGAGGCCACATTGCGGTGGGTGCCCTGTCCATCCACGTCTGTGCGTACATGTGCAGGTGTGGATGGACAGAATGCCCGCACCCGGGGAAGCTGAGTGGGGTGCGTTTGCATTGCGCCATCTCTTCTTCCCTGACCCCTTCCCCAGCTCCGCACCTGGATCCAGCGGTCACCGCGGTTCATGTACTGGAAGCAGACCTTGAGTTCGCAGTTGGTTTTCTCCACCAGATTCTTCACCTCCTTTAGGAACAGGTAATTGTCCTTCATGCTGAGGAGTGGGGGGGTAGAGGTTGGAAGGAGAGGTGAGGAGGGTGAGGACAACAGAGGAGGGTGAGGAAGGGGAAGGAGGGGGGAGGAGAGGGAGGAAGGAGGGAGGGGGGGAGGAGGGACACAGGCCATCCTCACAGGGAGGTGGCTCCTCTCAGTCAAGCTGGGCAGTGGAGGCCCTGTCTGTGCTCACCTTTGTAAAGGCCACAGGAATCCAGGGCCACAGAAACCCACTCATCCATGGATACAGTCTTTGTTAGAGTCATGAACAAATCAAAGGAGCAAGGAAACGGTGGCCTCTGCCTCCCCTAAAGCTCCGATCTTGGCCTCCCCAGCTCTTACGGCAGACCTCGGTGGGGCCGGAAGGCCGGGGTTGGCAGTCCCTTCCGTGGATACCAACAGTGGTGCCTCTTTCCCTTGCTCCTCCTCCTGCCTTGCTGTGGCCAACCTAGCACATCCTGAGTGCTCAATGAGTGCTTCCTTAATGGGAGAGGGGGGCTGAGCCTTGGAGGCCACCTGTGCCTTGGAGGCCACTGCCGAGGGCACCGACTGAGAAACAACATTGCCTCCCCTGAGCTGTCCATTGATGCTCACCTAGCCCTGTGGTGTGAGAACTGCTGAGAAGCAGCCGTGGCGAGGCCGAGTGAGCCAGCCAGCCAGGGCCTCTGTCTGCAGCCTCCGCAGCTCAGATGGCCAGTGCGTCTGGTCACAGCTACTGTGTGATGGAGCCAGAAAGGAATTCAGGTCTGTCTGCCCCTGACCTTTGGCCTTCTAACCTTGACTGCTCTCTGCCACCCCCCTCCCCACTTACCAGCATACAAACACCGACACAGGGGGCAGGATGTTGGGGGTCATGATCCATGGTGCAGTGCGGAACATCACTGTGTCTGTGAAGATGGGGGTCAGGGGGATCCCCTGGCGTGGGAGAGAGGGGGGAGGTGTCCAACAGGGATGTCAGGGGCACTGGTGGCTCACGCCTGCCATTCTAGCAACCCAGGAGGCTTTGATCTAGGATCTCGTGGTTCAAAGCCAGCCCAGACAGACAATTCTGGTCTCTTATCTCCAGAAGTGGTGCTGTGGCTCAAGTGTTAGGGTACCAGCCCTGAGCAAGAAAGCTAAAGGACAGTGCCCAGGACCTGAGTTTAAGCCCTGGGACTGGCATAAAAGAAAGGAGTGGGGCTAAGTCAGTCACATGGTTAGATAGAATCAGGTGGTCTGCCTCTGAGGCCCTCCCCACCTCTTCTCTGCCTCAATACTGAGCTTGGAACTCAGGGCCTTGTGCTTGCTTGCTGTCAGTCTACTACCTGAATCTCCAGCTATTTCTTTGCTGGTTAATTAGAGATAGACTATTTTGGACTTTTTTGTCCAGGCTGGCTTTGAACCTTAATCCTCAGCCTTTTGAGTAGATACGATTATAGGCATGAGCCACCAGTGCTGGGTTGAGGCCTTTCTCTTAACCCTCAACAGGCCCTGGGGTTCCCAAGCCTAGATCCTCCTTTGGGGCCTGGAGGGGACCAACATACTGTGGGCTCCTGGAGTGACCTTCTGCGGAGAGCCCCCAAGTCCCCGGGGCAGCTGCTCAGAGGGGAGCCTGGAACCCTCACCTCAGCCATGTACTCCAGGAGGCTGACGTGAATGGAGACCAGGCCTGAGAAGCCCTCATCGGGAAAACAGAGGCCTTCTACAAAGAACAGCAGCTCCGCGGAGCCACCCGTGTACTTGACCACATGGTAGAGCTTCTGCCGGCCCAGGATGTGAATGTAGCGCTGGCCGAAGAATGGGTCTGCAGGGGGAAGGACGGGGATCAGGCCTCCAGCTTCCAGCAAATGCAGCAGGGGACAAGCAGAAAAGGCCACCCGATGGCTGCCAGCTGGTCATTGTCATCACCTCAGGGCTGCTGTTTGTCCCCCTCCCTGCCCCCGTGGGATCCTGGCTTCCTCATCTGTAAAATGGGCTCGCTTTCCTGCAGCAGAGGATGACTGTGAGCTAGTGGGGTGGGGGTAGAGAGGGGGAGAATGTTAGTGCGACCATTTCACAGAGGAGGAAACTGAGTCTCAGGAAGGAGACATGGCCTGTCCGAGGCCACACAGTCAGTGGCTGAGCTGGGAATCAAATCCGTGTCTATTTCTGCATCCTGAGTTCTCCCCAGCCCTGGTATAACTAAAACGCAAAGGTGCCACTGTTACCAGAAACTTCTGTCAGGACCAGCGTGCGGTGTCTGGCAGTCTATTTCCCTGGCCCGGAGGGCCCCCAGCTTTCCAGGGCTTTGCCACACTGAAATCTCCAGCTCGTCACTGCTGTCCGCTCTCTCCTGTTCCTCTTCCCTTCTGATCATAGGTGAGAGTCCTGCCCCAGACTGGAGCCAGGGGCAATGTGTATGGCCTCCACAGCCCCCTGCCTGCCTCACCTCAGCTCTGTTAGTGCACACAGCTAGGAAAGACAGAGACGGGTCCTGCCAGGCCCGGCTGCCCACTTGGCACATGGTCAGGTTTAACAGATACTCACTGAATGGACCAATGTCCATGCCCCCCCTCCCCCCAGCTCCAATGGGAGAGATGGATGGGGGGATTTTTCAGGCTGGCTTGGAGCATGTGAGTTATTTCCCTGAGAGCCGCATGGGTGAGATGGTCTCAGTGCCATGTCTCAGCTGATGATAAAACAGTGCACACGGGAAGCGGGACGTGGTTGTGTGTTACGGGGGTGGCAGGAAGTGGAGGTGGGGAAGGGTCTGAGCAGAGGGTGGTGGCCTCTGAGAGGTTGCAAGGAGATACTTGCATGGGCAAAGGCATGAAGGTAGGAGCCTACGAAGTTCCAGAAGGAGTTTCTTTATACCTTGCAGGGCTGGAAGGGCAGAACCAGGCTGGACTTAGTGCTTGGAACAACAGCAACACGGGTTAGGGACCAACTACCCAAGAATTAGAACGTGTAACCAGAACATTCCGGAAGGAAGAAAGTGAGATGGTGGGAAGCTGTCCAGGCTTAGCACGCCTCCTCTGCAAGCACATGCTCAAGTAGAGCCACGGGGTGATCGTAGACTCAAAACCAGTGAGACCCTGGTCCCCGTGCCACGCTGGCTTGCCAGGCTATGGAACCTCTGGGAATTCACATAACCTCCCAAGCCTCAATTTACCCAACTGGCAAATGGAGGATAACAGTAGCTATGCCACAGAGGGATTGCAGAGGCTGGGGTATCCGTGCCTTCAGTAACCATGACAACTGTAGGTAGCCATGGGTACTACCTCAGACAGGAACTAGGCTGAGGAGAAGCTAGGAATGAGTCCCATATCCCTTGCTCAATATATCCTCATCCATTAGGCCCTGAGCTAGTCCCTGAGTAACCCCAGGACCTTATCACAGTCCCCCACACCCACATGCCCCAGGCTGCACTTAAACTCATGCTCAGAGGAGGAACACTAGACTGCTGTTACAGCAGCAGGTGTCTAGCTTTTCCAGGCCCAGGGCAGCCTGTACAGGGACAGAGGTCCAGCTTTAGTCCATATGCTGCCCATCGCTTTCTCCTCTTGATGTTGCCTGTGTCCTGTGATTCCTAGCGTGCCTCTCTCCCAGGCCTCCTGTTGGTAGTTTGAACTCGTGCCAGGCAGATGGATTCCTCCGTGGAACAATCTGGCATTGTCCAGAGCAGCTGCCTCTCCTCTCCCCATTCTGTCTCCAGCTTGGTGCAAATTTTGACACCCCCACATGTGCTGGCCCTCCCACAGGCACCAACAATGGCCCTCTATGCCTTGGGCTGGGCCTGCCGGGCCATCGGGGCCTCTCCCACACCCCAGGCATTGGCCTCAGCTGGCCAGCACTTGCCGTGGCTTGGCCTGACCCTTCCAGTCCCTTTGGATCCATTCTTTTTTTGGGGGGGGGTCCGGTCGTGGGGCCTGAACTCTGGGCCTGGGCGCTGTCCCTCAGCTCAAGGCTAGTGCTCTACCACTTGAGCCACAGCGCCACTTCTGGCTTTTTTCTTTTTGCTTATGTGGTACTGAGGAATCGAACCCAGGGCCTCAGGCATGCAAGACAAGCGCTCTACCACTGAGCCACCTTCCCAGCCCCCTTTGGATCCATCCTATCTCCCTAGGAGACTCTGGTAGGAGCTCCTGCTTACCCATGGCACCCTGTGATGAAGAGAAACCCAGGCTGGGGCTGGCTGAGGGGGCCTCCCAGCTTCAGAGCTCTCTCTTGGATCCCCTTAAACCCAGCCCTGGACCTTGAGGACAGCTGGTCCGTTTTTTGCAGGACACAGGGGACCACGAGACGTTCACCAAGGCGACACACCTTATCCACAGGTGTGTTCAGGTTTAGCCCCCAATGCCAGGAGAGGAAGCTAGGCTGCAGATGAAGAGTTAGTCTGTCTGCCTTGGTGCCTGTGTGGCTCAGCACTGTCCCCAGAAATCCACCATGAATGGAAGCTGACTGCTTTGGGTGCCCATGGCTTCATTCCCCGGGGGATGGCATGTAGCGGAGATGGTCTCTGGGGAATGTTGTCTAGGCTCTGCGTAGAGAGTCTGTGCTCCTTTTTCCTTCCTGTTCCAGGCCTATCTCTGATGGCAATGGACAGGGAGAGGGAGGACACTGAGCCAGGGCTCTAGAGACGGCCAGGCGTCACTATTAGGGACAGATCTGGGTCAATGCCAAGGCTGAGTCAAAGCCTGGGATGACACCCTCCTGCACCCCTCCTCCTCCGTGGCAACTCTGGCAGGGACAGAGTAAACATCAACATCTCGGGGCCCCCTGTAAGGTAAAGGGACATTCCGACCTTTGGAGGTCCCTGCTGGGGCTCAAGGTGGAGCAGGAGAGGGGTGTCTTCAGGGGGCTGCTGTCCTCTGGTATTCAGGGTACCCCCCCCCAGGTAAGCCCTCCCCTTGTGGCAGCTTCCCTGGGTCCAGTGGACCTTCCCAGAAGGGGCTGCAGGGTGAGGCCAGAGGTCCTGCGCCCCACACCCCCAACTCCAGACAGCCAGGCACACCCATCTGCCAAGCTGTTGTGCCGAGGGAAACACATCCATCAGACCTTGACAGTCCCATACTTGAAACCTTCAAATGGCTTTCCACTGCACTCAGAAGAAAACTCAGACCCTGTCGGCATGCTCTGGTCTCCGGCCCAGCCTGCTGACCTTGGATCCACCCTCCTCTCCCCCCATCTTTCTGTTCCTCCGAAGTGCCTGGGCTTTTCCTCAGCTCAGGAAGAACCCTTTCCTTGGTTGCTCCTTTGTGATGCTCCAAGTCACCTCCTCAGAGAGGTCTCTCAGGACCACCCAGCGGGGAGGGGTGTCACCTAGTCAGCCTCGGGTGGGTGGGGGGTGGGCGGGGAGGAGGGACTTCCTAGGATCTGGACTTGTTCCTTTTCTCCACTGCTTCTTCCCTTCTTTCTTTTCTTCCCCCCTCACCTCTTTCTCTCTTTTCCTTCCTTCCTCCCTCTCTTTTTCTTTCTTGTGCCAGTCCTGGGACTTGAGCTCAGGGCCTTGTGCTCTCACTTGGTTCCCCCACCCCCTCCCAAGGCTGGCACTCTACCACTGAGCAACAGCTCCACTTCCAGATTTTTGCTAGTTAACTGGAGACAAGAGTCTCATGAGGGGCTGGGAAGGTGGCTCAGTGGTAGAGTGCTTGCCTTGCATGCATGAGGCCCTGGGTTCGATTCCTCAGCACCCCATAAGCAGAAAAAACTGGAAGTGATGCTGTGGCTCAAGTGGTAGAGCACTAGCCTTGAGCTGAAGAGCTGAGGGATAGTTCCCAGGCCCTGAGTTCAGGCCCCACGACCGACCAAAAAAAAAATAAATAAAATAAAAAATAAGAGTCTCATGGACTTTGCTGTCCTGGCTATCTTCAAACTGAATGTCAGATCTCAGCCTCTTGGGCAGCTAGGATTACAGGCGGGAGCACTGGTGCCAGGCTTGTTTATTACATCTCCTTCCTCTTCAGCCAGCCCCTGGAGGACCAGGGGTGACTACTCTATTTAGGAAGAATTATGCGGGCACGGAGGCGGCTCCACACTTGGTCACAGAAAGGAGAGGCTATGGGTAGCTCCAGGACTAGCTCTATAGGGGGGCGCTGTCCCTTTAAGTGGGGGCCTTGTCACCACCAGAGGAATGAGAAGAAAACCAACTCCCACAGGGCCCCTAGGGCTTCTCCAAGAGATGCCAGGTGCCACATGGACACAGGCACCAGCATGCTGGACACCAGGCATCGTGAGAGTGACAGGACCCTGGCCATGGGGAAGAAGGACATGGACTCAGGCCACTGCAGCTCCTTTGTGGACTCTCCTGAGTTCCCCAGGGACTGAGCGGATTCTGCACCACTGCAGCAGCAGCTGCTGCTGAGGGAGGGGGAAGGGGGCCTAGGGGGCAGGAGGGAGGGGCAGAGCCGGGGTCACTCACTCTCCACGTAGAACACGCCCACTTTGTCCGAGTCTGACATGGAAATGTACAGAACCATCTCGTACCCAGCGGGCAGGCGGTCCGGGCCCTTGGTCCTCAGGATCATCTGGGACATGTCCTTGAGATCTGGGCACAGGTGAGGAGAAGGTCAGGATGAGGGACGCTCCCTGGGAAGGTGGGTTCCACTGCCTCTTACTATTTATTTATTTGTGCTTTTACCAGGGCTTGAACTCTGGGCATCTCAAGCTCCTGCTTGGCTTTTTTTTTTTTTTTTTTTTTGCTCAAGGCTGATGTTCTACCACTTGAGCCACAGTTCCACTTTGGGCTTTTTGCTTGTTAACTGGAGTTACAAGTCTCATGGATTTTCTTGCCAAAGCTGGCCTTGAACCATGATCCTCAGATCTCAGCCTACTGAGTAGCTAGGATGACAGGCGTGTACCGCTGGTGGCCAGCTTTTTATTTTTAGAATGGAAAAGGGAGACCCCATGCGTGCATGTTATGGGAACAGCATAGCACAGCAAAGAGAAAAATCTGCTTGCTACTTCCAACCCGATCAGGACCTCTGATTAACCCTTTGAGAGTTCCTTCCTGATTCTTTCTCTCTAGGCATTTTGTTGTTGTTGTTGTTGTTGTGGGTTGTGGGGCTTGAACTCTAGGCCTGGGCACTGTCTCCGAGCTCTTCAGCTCAAGGCTAGCACTCTACCACTTGAGCCACAGTGCCACTTCTAGCTTTTTCTATGTATCTGGTACTGAGGAATCGAACTGGGGGCTTTATGTATGCTAGGCAAGCACTCTACCACTAGGCCACATTCCCAGCCTAGGCATGTTGCTTTTAAAAGAACAAACAAATAAAACAACAACAAAAAACCCCACGAGTTTTTATTTTGTTGTTGCTGTTGGTCATGGGGCTTTAACTCAGGGCCTGGGAAGTGTCCCTGAGCTCTTTTGCTCAAAGCTAGCACTCTACCACTTTGAGCCACAGCCCCACTTCCAGTTTTCTGGTGGCTAATTGGAGGTAAGAGTCTCATGGACTTGCCTTCCTAGGCTAGCTTTGAACTGCAATCCTCAGCCTCCTGAGTAGTTAGGATTACAAGCATGAGCCATGGGCCCCTGCCTGTATTTGCATTTTGGGGGGGGTCATGGGGCTTGAACTCTGAGCCTGGGCACTGTCCCTCAGCTCTTCAGCTCAAGGCTAGTGCTCTACCACTTGATCCACAGTGCCACTTCTGGTTTTCTTGCGGTTTATTGGAGATAAGAATCTCACAGACTTTCCTGTCTGGGCTGACTTTGAATTGTGATCCTCAGATCTCAGTCTCCTGAGTAGCTAGGATTACAAGCAGGAGCCTCCAGCACCCAGCTGTATTTGCAGCTTTTAAAGCTGAAAAAAAAAATAACCTGAATACCCAGAGTCTAGAGTATAGTTCGGTATTAGAGTATGTGCTCAGCATGCACAGGGAGCAGGGTTCAATCCCTCACAAGAACCCGACAAATAAACGCAGCATGGGTCTGTCTCCCTTGTGTCTGCCCCTGGGTCACCGGGATCTCCCAAGGCTCAGTTTCCACTTGTATAAAGTAGGCCCCTCCAGAGTCCTCCCTGGCTTCAACAATTTGTAAGTCTAGGGATCTCTTTGTTAAGCCAAAGAAATTATTCAGAGCCTAAGTCTGACAGACAGCCGGGAGCCACGGGCGCCCAGCTGAACCAGACTTTAACTGAACTATCAGCTTCTCCGAGTCTGGTGTACCCACACCTCACCCTGAGCTGACTTCCGCAGCTCCCAGCCCCCAGTGCTACCTGCCCCCCCCCGCACCCCCCCTCCATCCGCACCTTGCTTGCTGTAGACCTTCTCATCACTGCAGTCCTCCTTGGGCAGCCAGGGTGTGTCCCGGTCACAGTTCACCAGCAGGATGGCCCCTTGGCCCTCCGGACCCCATGTCCAGGATGCCTGCAGTGGCAAGAGGACAGGACATGGCCCTCCCAGCTTCTAATCTAGAACAGAGCCCCCAGGGACACCAAGAGAGAGCCCCCCTACCCCCCATGTGAGACATGGTAGACAGGAGGCTGGACAGGGCACGTGGTCTCTGCTCTGGGCTGTGCCTGGAGAAGACAGGGAAGCCCAGTGTGGCCAGAGGATGGGCAGAGAGACATCCCAGGACAGGACTGAAGTCCCCCTGGGGGAGGGGGTGTTCTCACACATGCTCAGATATCCCTAATGCGGCTGCAGGTGCTGCACCGCTATGTGACAACAGAGGGCCACCAGGTCTATCTGGGTCATGGGTCACAGCGTGTCCCTGTTTGGATGAAGCCCTGTCTGTGATGTCTCTGTGGCCTTCAAGGCCCGGTGAGGCCCACCTGCCCTCCCTCCCACCTCCTCCACCTTGCCCTCCCTCATGGAACTCCATAAGTCAGAAGAGTCCTCCAGGCCAAGCCCCAGGGACTTTGCCCATGCAGACACAGAGAGAATGCATGTGCAGGACTGACCTGGGGCAGAGGTGGGGAGCTGGTAAACCCCCATTCTGACCCGCAGGGTCTTGAATGATGCTTAGCCCAGGCTTCTCAATGGGTTCTGTTTTACCTTTTTAAAGTACTGGTGGCTCAGGCCTAGAATCCTAGTTACACAGGACACTGAGATCTGGGGATTGGGCAGCAAAGTTCCTGAGATTTTTATCTTTAACTAACCACAAAAAAGCCAGAAGTGGAGCTGTGGTGCAAGTGGTAGAGTGTCAGTTTTGAGCATAAAAGCTCAGTGACAGTGCCCAGGCCCTGATTTCAAGTCCCAGTACTGGGACATACACATATGTCATCTAACTACCATGTGTGCAGGGTATTGCACAGTGGTAGAGTATGAGCTTCGCCTGGAGGCTCTGGGCTATTGCTCAGCATGGTTCTTAGTTAACTGTGGCTACAGATCATTCATATGAAAGGCACACATGCCTGTGGCAAAAACATAAATGATATGGAGAATGTATGCACACATAGTAAAACCACTGGAGTTTACAGAAGGGTAGAGGGGAAAATTACACCAACCACCACCGTAACCACACCATGCTTCCCATGAACTGAAAGAACAGAGTCACACTCATTCCATGGAGAGGGCTCTTGTCAGTCCAATGGGGAGGGAAAGATCAACGGAAACAAAAGATGAATTAATAATAATACTTGAAAAAAGTAGATAAAGGAGTGTGTTGTACACAGACCAGTGGGGATGTGATTCTATCTGTGAATGACGCGCGCAGCCCTCTGCTCCTGCAGGTCCCTGTCCCCTCAATTTTTCTTTTTTTTCGTGCCAGTTCTGGGGCTTGAACTCAGGACCTGTGTGTTATCCCTTAGCTTTTTTCTTTTTTTTTTTTTTTGTTGGTCGTGGGGCTTGAACTCTGGGCCTAGGCGCTGTCCCTCAGCTCTTCAGCTCAAAGTGAGCGCTCTACCACTTGAGCTACAGCGCCACTTCCGCTTTTCTGGTGGTTTATTGGAGATAGGAGTCTCACGGTCTTTCCTGCCCGGGCTGGCTTTGAACCACGATCCTCAGATCTCAGCCTCCTGAGTAGCAAGGATTACAGGTGTGAGCCACCAGCGCCCGGCTTCCTTAGCTTTTTTTCTTAAATTCAAGTTTGGCACTTACCACTTGAGCCACAGCTCCACTTCTGACTTTTAAAAAAAATTTTAAAGTAGTTTACTGGGGATAAGATTGTCACAGACTTGCCTGCCCAGGCTGGCTTTGAACTGTGAGCCTCAGAACTCAGCCTCCTAAGTAGTTAGTATTACAGGCCTGAGCCACTAACACCTGGCTATACCCTCTTAATTTTCAGATAAAAGGAAAGACAGTGGGGCTGGAGGCATGGCTCAGTTGGTGGAGTGCTAGCCAATAAACCAAAGTGGCAGGTACTGAGTTTGAGTCCTGGTCTGGGACCTAGAATAAAAAGAAAAGGCTGAGCAGTGAGTGCAGATGGCTTTCTGGTGTGGCCTCTGTGGCTGGTGCATGTCTTCTCAGTAGGTCTGGGGCCTAGGGTGGCAAAATGGACTGGGTATCTGCCCAGTAGCTGACCCTTGGGGAGCCTGCCTCAGGCCTCAGCCTCCTGCCCTGGGAAAAGTGAGCTGTGGGTCTGCCGGGGCTCGAGGCCTCCCGTGGAGTCTGGTCCGGGGCTCCGCCGGTGGACACAGCTACCTTTTTCGGGTTGTTCTTTTCCACCACGCCATCTCGGTCCGCGTCCACGTCCAGGGAGATCTCTGGGGACGAGAGACATGGGTGAGCTGCTGAGCATGCCTGCATGGCACAGATACAGGGGTGCAGCGGGGTGCAGCTGGACAGGGGCCCCTGGCGAGGTCATCTTCCTGCCCCCCTCATGGACACCCTCAGTGGACACAGGGCACCCCCTCAGGGGCCACCCACCCGCACTGCTCCCATCCCCCTCCCTGCACACAGCTGGGGGCCTCGGTGCAGAGGCTAGGTCATGCTGGTGGCAATGGCAGAACTGGGGTACACAGGGCTGCTGTGGCCTGACTCACCCATACTTTGAAATAGCACAAATACAGGACCTCTCACTACCTTTCCCAACCTGTCCTGGGCATGTATATATCTAAAGGTATATGCCAGTGTGTGTATGACTCTGTGTGTATGTGTGTGTGTGCATGCATGCACGCGCACCGGTCTGTCTGTGTCTCTCCCAGAACTCTCAGGGCTCTAGATCCCATCTTTAAGGATGGGGGGGGTGTTTCCTGTGGTTACAAATTATGTCTCTACCTCCTCTTGATCTGAGGGTGATCTAGTGTCCCTGTCTACTCCTTTCTCTCAAGGAAGGGACCATGATCACTCCTGGGCCTGCAGGAAGACCAGCTTTCTAGAAGCTATGGGGGTAATATGGAAAGTTCTAGCATCAGTCCATGGGTTGAAGCCTTGGTTCTTTGCTTCTGAGCTGTGTGACTTTGGGCAGGTTAGACAACTTCTCAGAGCCCATGTCCTCACTTGTACGAACAGCAGGCTCTTTCTAGCAACAGCCTGTTGCACGATGTGCAGTGGTATCAAGGGGGCCCGTGAATGTTGACAATCCCGTGGTCATGAAAACCAAAGATCCCTTCAGTACTGTCAATGGAGGCACACTGCTTCCAGGCAGAGGCTGGCAGGGGGCGGGCATGGCTGGCAGGCACCGGCTGTGCCACTGGGGTGTGGCCGGTTATAAGCGGGCTTGTTTCAGGTCAGCATGACTTGGACTATGATGGGAGAAGTGAATGCATCCTCCCCTGGTCCCCTTGGCAGATACATCCCCTACCCCATGGGGTGAGGAGGGTCTGGCACAGAAGGACCCCGGTGTCACCTTCCCTGGGTGGCTGTGCCTAACCAGGTCTTCCTCCCTTCCTAGCCTTCCTTTGACCCTGGCGGTGGCTCTGCTGGGTAGAGGACAGCAGGAAGGTGGAGGCCCTGGGGGGAAGCAGCCTCCAGGGAGGCCTGCCAGGAGTGTTGGGCTGTAAAGCTCCTGCACCCACTCTTCCCACCAACTGCCGGCTCAACACGGCTCTGCGGGACGCCTGCCACGGGGCTGGATGAGGGACACACGGCAGACATCCCCAGGAATCTATGGTCCTGGGAGGGAAGTAGCAGGACGCCCAGTTCCCAGGGGAGCAAACCCAGGCTTGGAGGAGGGGGGGGAGGGGGCAGCATGAGGTAGGTAATGTGGGAGGAAGAGGGAGGGGTGCAGATCCAGGGAACAGCAGGGAGGTGGTGGGGCCACCCGGCCTGCTCTTAGAGGCCTAAATGCAAGAGTGTTAGTTTTGGCTCCCAGACCCTCTCCAACTTTCCAGCTTGCCACGCTCCTCTGCCAGCAGTGGGGAACTTCTCACGGCTTCCTTACCAGTGAGGCTCACATCCACCAGACTGCAGAGCAGAGGTAGGCCCAGGTGGGCTGCTGGCTCCCAATCTCTGCTCCTTGCTGTGTCCTTCTACCTGGGTGCCTTGCAAGAGCCAAGCTCGTGTGTGTGTGTGTGTGTATGTGTGTGTGTATGTGTGTGTGTGTGTGTGTGTGTGTGTGTGTGTGTGTGTGATTCTAAGGGTTGACTGAGGGCCTCATACTTGGTTAAAAGATAACACTGAGTTACCAGTCGGTTATGGGGCTTGAACTCTGGGCCTGGGCATGTCCCTCAGCTCTCTTCATTCTCAAGGCAAGTGCTCTACCACTTGAGCCACAGAGCTACTCTGGTTTTCTGGTGGTTAATTGGAGATAAGAGTCTCACGGACTTTTCTGCCTGGGCTGGCTTTGAACTGCAATCCTCGGATCTCAGCCTCCTGAGTAGATGGGATTACAAGCATGAACCACCAGTGCCCAGTTCCAAGTTCACTTTTGAAGACCCAGCTCTTGCTCCCCTGAGCAACACAGCTGGAGGAGGTGGCTATAGCCCCGTCTGACCATCCAGTTGCCTTTATCCCTAGGCTGAAAAGTCTCATGCAAACTTCTTGCAGTATATGCATTCAAGCAGCACTTGTGGGAGGAGTTATAGAGTACTTATAATGCTTTATTATATTTTAAATTTCCTTTTTTTTGGAAGGGGTGGTGGTGGTACTAAGGATCGAACTTAGGGCCTTATACTTGCTAGACAATGCTCTAACCACATGAGCCATGCCTCCTGCATTCATTATTTTCAAAGGTTTGTCTTCCTTTATGCCTTGGCCAGGCTGGGCTCTGATCCTCCTATTTGTGTTTTCCCACATCACTGGAGGTGACAGGCCTGTGCCTCTGAGCCCAGCTACCAGCTGAGATGGAGTTTTGAGAACCTTGGTGCCCACGGTTGGCCTTGAACCTTCATCCTGAGCGCTGCCCCCCGAGCTGCCAGGATGACAGGCTTGAGACACCACACCCAGCTGTATATCTGGAGGCACAGTTTCAGTGTGCAGCCCAGGTTGCCCTTGAACTCTTAATCCTTCGGCCTGATCTTCCAGAATGCTGGAACTGCAGGTGTCCGCCACCGCACCCAGCTGAACTTCTTAACTTTATTTTTTTAAACTAATGTAATAATTATAGCTGCAAATTGAAAAACAAAAAATACCAGACTCCTTCTAAAGAACACCAGCAGTTCCCTGCCTGGGTTCGTCTCACTGCATAATATTGAATAGTGTGTACTTCTCGCCATGCCTGACCCCTAAAGACAAGACAGCCTTCTCTGCCTTCCTATTAGGGAATTGGGCCAGCTCATAATCCGGCTTCCTTGTCACCTCTTCCATCACCCACAAGGGCTCTCAGTATCTCTCTTAGGACCCATAGCACTTGCCATGGCCTCCTCTGGGTTCTGCCCCCCCTTAGAGCCCTCCTCAAACTACAGCCCCCCCCAGTTCTCTCCACAAGCTTCCTCACCCTGACGTAACCCAGTCCCCAGGATGATGCTTACAGGAGCTCTGCCCTCCCCAGGGGAGGACACCTGTTTCAGGCCCTCTAGGTTCCAGAGGACATTTCCCAGAGGCTCCAGATCCTACCTCAGCTCCCCGGAATAGCCCCAGGGTGTCAGGTGACATGGGGTGTGGGGGGATTAGCGGGAAATGTCACCAGGATTGGGTTCAAGGCAGGCTGAGGCCCCCTGGCTGTGTTTTGGCCACTCGCCAGCCTCAAGCATGGTGACAGTGGTGGCTGCCCCTTCTCTACCCCACCCCCGCCTTCTTGTCTTAGGAGTAAGTTAGGGTGCAGGAGTGGGGGGCTCTTCCTTTCCCCCAGTCTGAGGCTCTGGGAGGGGGCACAGGAATGAGCTCCTGGGGAATGCTCAAAGTTCCTGAGCCTAAGTGCCTTCTGCCAGGACCACAGGAAAGATGGAGGGGAGCAACCTTCCTTCTCCGACCCCAAGCCCATGCTCCTGCATGGGGAAGACCCTGGAAATTGCAGGGATGGAAGGCTTGAAGGTCCTCCATCGGTAGCTGGGGACAAGTGGGACTAGAGGGGGCGAGCTACTTCTTCAAGGTCACACAGCGAGTCCTTCCCAAACTGGACTCGGGACCCAGAGCCTGATTTGGCCAAGGGATTTTGCAGGTTTGTTACCATATCCCGGGAGGAAGACTGGGGACAGTCTTTCATTCTCTTCCTTGAGAGGAAGGGAGAAACAAGCATTTGAGTACTATCTGTTCTGGGCCTATGGCACAGGCCCTTTGCATATGCCATGCCAGTGCAGCTTTGGAAGCACTGTGCAAAAACTCTCTATGTATCCACTTATCAGATGAGGATTCTGAGGCTCGGGGGGCAGTGTACTAATCTGGCTGGAGGGGCAGAGCTGGAGCATATTTCTGCCCATCCCAAGGCCACGACTGCCTGTGCCCAGTGTGGTTTCAGAACAAGGTTCAGGTGACAGGAATACAGGTATCTCAGGGGTGTGTGTGTGTGTGTGTGTGTGTGTGTCTCACTGTCCAGGGACAATGGCATATCTGCCACTGAGGTATTGCCCCTGAGTGAGCTCAGGGGGTGGGAGGCCTGGGAAGGAGTGGGTGTGTGGGGAGACATGGAGTCCACTGTTCCCTCAGAATGATCGGCTAGCACCTGCCAGGGTCACTAGTGGGGCCGTAAACATAGGTTCTTAATTAACCACCAACAGAGCTGGGGGTGGGGCTGTGGTTCAAGCGGTAGAGTGCTAGCCCTGAGCAAGAAAAGTGGAGGGAAAGTGCCCAGTCCCCAGGTTCAAACCCCAGAACTGGAACAAAGAAAGAAAAGGTGGGGGTGGAGGGAGATACTTTTCTATCCCATGCATATAAACGACCTGGGGCCGATGGCTGTAAGTAAATAATTGCGAGGTGAAAATCCTTAGCCTTGGGCAGATGTGGTCTTCTGGGGAGGGAACCCTGCGCTCCTCGGAGAGGTGACCCGAAGGGCCAGCTTCCCGCCTGCCCCAGGGAAGGAAGAGCCCGGCTCTGCCGCCTCGCAGGAGGTGATGTGCGGCAGCCTCCCTCTGCCTTGCTTTGGTGGATGCCTGAAGGGCGTAGCGAGCCCTGGGGTCACCTTCACTGGACAGGCCGCTAGCCCCAGTCCCTCCTGCCCTCGTCCTCAGGTGTCCGGGCTCTGTGGGGTTAGGTTTCCTCCAGGAGTCATCTGACACAGGCGATGTGTATGTGAGCGCTCACTATGCACTCACGTGCCAGGGCTGGGCACGGCCGGGGGGAGTTTGGTTACCATCTCCCAAGGCCCCCTGAGGTCATCCTGAGATTCTCACCCCAGGCTGGGTACCCCGTGGTGCAGAAAAGAGGGGCAGGGTGACTCTCACCCGTGCCCCTGGGGGCCTCAGTTGACGAGAAGCAGAGGAACACTGTGTAGTTAAGGTACCAAGGGCTGAGGGGGGCAGTGTGGGAGTTAGCTGTCCTCTAGGGAGGAGCCAGGGCCCCCAGAGAATGGGAGATAATGACAGGGGGGGGTTGACATGGTGACCCAGCAATCACTTTGTCTGGTGTAGAGAGGCCTCGCAACTCTTCTTGTTTTCACTTTTTCTGAGCCTTGCTTCCCTCATCTGTAAAATGGGTATAACGTGCAGATCCTAGAAAGAGTTGTAAGAATAGACTGAGAGCCGGGTGCCGGTGGCTCATGCCTGTCATCCTAGCTACTCAGGGGGCTAGAATCTGAGGGACTGGGGTTCAAAGCCAGCCTGGGCAAGCAAATCTGTGAAATTCTCATTTCCAATTAACCAGACAAAAGCTGGAAGTGGAGGCATGGCCCAAGTGGTGGTGCACCAGCCTTGAGTCAAAGAGCGGAGCAAGAGTAGGAAGCTTGGAGTTCAAGCCCAGGACTAGAGCACATGTATAAAGAACAGACTGAACTCATGGCAGAAAGATGTGCGGTACTGGAGCCTGGCACCTCACTCTGCTCGGCAAGTAGCCAGCATCCTCCTCCTCCTCCTCTCTGTCCTGCCTCTCCTCCTCCCCATCATCGAAGCACAGCCCTGGACACGGCTTTGGCATGCAGTACACCAGAGGCGCTGTGTTTTCACAAATCACTCAGCACATCGTTGGCACGCAATGCCTGGTAGTTCCTGCCATGTGGCAACACCTCTGTAAGCCACGCCTGGATGGACCAAATGCCCTTCAGCAAGATCCTCCTGGCTGGCTGTCATTAGAAAATAACTCAAGGTCTGGAGGTGTAGCTCAGGAGGTGGAGCACCTGCCTCGAGAGCTGGCAGTTCTGAATTTAAACCTCAGCATCGCCACCAAAGGGAAAAGTTTATGCGACAGGGCCCAGTAACTGGAGATCCAGAAGCTCTGGCCCTGCCCAGAATCTGACCGTTCACCAAAGGGTCCAGCAACTCGGGGGCAGGGGGGAAAGAGGGAGGAGGGGGACAGTGTGCAGGCATCTGGCCCTGCCCAGCCTACCAGGCAGGACTGAGAACCAGGGCAGGGCCATGTGGGACAGCCACACAGGTCTAGGAGGAGGTTATCTTTGAATTCTAGACTCAGTCCCCCACAGGGTTGTGTGTGATTTGATTACATTTCCTAGCCTCTCTGAGCCTCACCACGCTTGTAAATCTAATGAAGACCATGCATGAGACGAGTTAAGAACCAGGTCTGGGGTTGGGGGGTGGAGGGAGAAAGCTGGGATTGTCAGGGACAGCAGGAGTTCATCTCTTCTCCAGCTGTAGGAGAAGAGGAGAGGGACAGGTCTCTCCCCCGCCATTTTTGTGGCCTAGAGAGGCCAGGTCAGACTCAGGGTGCACCTCCTCCTGCAGGCAGTTTCCTGCACAGAGTAGAACCAAAGCTGCCCAGTGGCACTGAGCAGCGTGGCAGTGCCAAAGCCCTGGGAGGGCAAAGGTAACCAGGCCACAGCTATGCCAACTCACCGATGGCCGTGAGGAAGAGCCCAGCCTGGTCGATGGGAGCGTTTCCCTGCTCTTCGTAGTAGCTCACCGTGACCTTGGTGACAGGGACACATGGGGACAGAGAGAAGGGTAGAAATCATGAGTTATCATGGGAGAGCCCAGTGTGATGCTGCCATGCCAGAAAGATAACCCCAGGGTGTATCCCCAGCCTCTGCTCCCCCTCCCCCCACAGGCCACACGGTGTGCCTACCTCCGTGGGAGCCAGTCCGGGGGCAGGGTGGAGGCTGTCCCTGGCTGATGTCTAGTGCAGTCATTCATGTGAGCGTATGGTCACGTTCACATAGAGGGAACCCAATGGGGGCCTCTCTGGCCATGGGTACCTAGCACCCCACTTTATAGACACCAAGGTCGGGGTATTCTGAGGCCCCCCGGCTCTCTGTCTGGCCTCTGAGCCCTTGATATAGGGGAGCCCCAAACCAGATGTGCAGCGATGTGACTCTAGATTCCTGATGCAAAAAGTATGCAAACTGTCTTAATTTTTTTTAATATCGATCATGTCAAAATGGTAATATTTTAATGGATATTTGGGATTTAGCAAAATACATTATAATGAATTTTGCGTCTTTCTTTTTGCCTTTCTTTTGTGTGAGTGTGTGTGTGTGTATGTGCGCACACACGCGTGCCAGTACTAGGGCTTGAACTGAGGGCCTCAGAGCTGTCTCTGAGCTTTTTTGCTCAAAGCTAGTGCTCTACCCCTCGAGTCATAGCTCCATTTTCAGCCATTTGCTGGTTCATTGGAGATAAAAGTCTTCTGGGCGGGCTGGGAAGGTGGCTCAGTGGTAGAGCGCTTGCCTTGCATGCCTGAGGCCCTGGGTTCGATTCCTCAGCACCACATAAGCAGAAAGAAAAAAGCCGGAAGTGCGCTGTGGCTCAAGTGGTAGAGCGCTAGCCTTGAGCTGAAGAGCTGAGGGACAGTGCCCAGGCCCAGAGTTCAGGCCCCACGACCGGACCCAAAAAAAAAAAACCAAAAAAAAAAAACCAAAAAAAAAGTCTTCTGGGCTTTCCTACCCAGGCTGATTTTGACCTGTGATCCTCAGATTTCAGCCTCCTGAGTAGCTAGGCTGACAGGTGTGAGCCACCAGAGACCAGTGACCCAGCACTTGGCTCTTTTTTTTTTTTTTTTTTGACATAGCAATGAGAGTACTGGACGGGACATGTGGCTTGCACTGTCTCTGTTTGATATGCTGCTGTGGCTAGGACCAGGACTCCCCTAGCCGTGAAGGATGGCCCCCCCTCGCAGTACCTTGTCACTGCTGGCCTCTGTGCTGGCCTGGCTCATGGTGAGCCGCAGCGTGGTGCTGGGAGAGAGGGACCAGCGCAGCTTGCCGTTGGTGGCCACTTCCTCGGCCTCCCCGTCCTGCACCACTTCCACCTGCACACCCTCGGAGTGCTTCAGGCTGAAGGTTTGGGCCCCGGCTGGAGCCGCACTGTAGGGAAAGAAGACAGGAGGTGAGGGAGCGGGGCTGGAGTAGACAGGATGGGGACTTCAGGAGAGAGTGCTGGGAGAGACAAGCAACCTGTCTAGGAACCGCTCTGCTGCTCTGGGTATTCGGCAGTGGGCTGGAGCTAGTGTGGGGTGGTTGGTCAGGCTGTGGATGTGTGGGTCTCAAGAGGCCACCAGGCTGCGGTTCTCTGACCCTGGGAGTTGGGCTCAGTGGTAGAACTCTTGCCTAGTAGACACAAGGCTCTGGGTTTGCTACCTAGCACAAATACCAAAACAAACACAAAGAAATGCCAACTGTAGGCTGCAGGGGGCGCTTGGAAAGACAGCCCCCCCCCAATGGAGGAGACGGGGAGGTGGTGGGGTCTGGTGGACCATTCCAGGTGTTTCCACCTGGATATTGGCAGTGGAGCTCAAAAAAAGAGATTCCAAGCTACTCTATTTCTCCTCCCACTGACCTTTCCAAGGAAGGTCTTCAGGCCATCAGGGAGACGCTGGCTGACCTGAGGTGGGTCCCTCATTGGCCTGGACAGATGCCTCTTCCGTGCCCATCGTTGGCTGAGGTCCAGAGTGTGGGCAAAAGCCAGGGATTGGGTATATGTGGGAGATCTAGGTTTGGTCAGGGTTTTTTTTTTTTTTGGGTCCGGTCGTGGGGCCTCAACTCTGGGCCTGGGTGCTGTCCCTCAGTTCTTTAGCTCAAGGCTAGCACTCTACCACTTGAGCCACAGCACCACTTCCAGCTTTTTTCCTTTTGCTTATGTGGTGCTGAGGAATCGAACCCAGGGCCTCATGCATGCAAGGCAAGCGCTCTACCACTGAGCCACCTTCCCAGCCCCGGTTTGGTCAGGTTTTGCCCCTCCTTGCTATTGGTGGAGAGGCGTGAACATATCCCTGTGCTGACGGTCTATCCAACAGTTCATAAGACAGAACCCTTCCTGTCCCCTCTCCCATCCCTCCAAGGGACGGGGCTGCTTTATAGTTATGACACTGCCATGTGCCACCTACCTCCCTTGGGCCCCCCTCCACCCTTGGCCTCAGAGCCTGGTGCAGGCTGGGTACACTACGCACCCAGCCAGGAGGGAGTTGACAGAAGCCTCTTCCAGGGAGGTGGCTGGGTGCAAAAGACCACCGATAATGTTTGCTGGGGTAGTCTCTTTCTGGCTATGACAAAGCTTCACCATTTACTGTCTTGGTATAAGTAATCTCCATTTAAAAATAACCCTATTAAGAAAAATGTCAGAGCTGTGCTACAGGTGGGACATGGGTTGAGAAACACCGTCAAAGTCTGAGAAGTCAAGGACTCACTCAGGCCTGGGACATTCCTTTAGGGCAACTTTCTCCCTTGCCTGCCAACCTGCTGGGTAGCCTTGGGCAAATGGCTTTCCCTCTCTGTTACAAGGAGTGTTGAATGGGAGGGTGAAAGCCAGGGCAGCGGTGGTCAGGGTAGAGGCAGAGGGGTAGACCCTGGGCAGTGAATTAAACCAGAACTCTGTCTGGTTCTGATTGCAGCCTCTGCAGACAAGGCTACTTAGAAGAAGGTGTCGCTCTCATGACATTCCTGTCGGATGTCATTCCTCTGGCCAGCGAGAGACCTATGGAGGTCCCAGAGGGCCCACAGTGCAGCTCCAGGGCCTCCTGCCCACCCCACAGCCCGGCCTTAGGCCTGCTCAGAGCTAAGCCAACAGCTATTCTTGGAGCAGCCCCGAGGCCCTGGCAGAAGTGACAAAGGCTTCCATTGTGCCCCTGCAGATCCTGTTGGCTGCCTTCATCCCAGGAAGATCCTTTTAGAAACCTGAGCATCAGGGGCTGAGGCAGCCCCGGGGTCCCTGGAGGCGGTGGGGAAGGGCCCAGGACATCAGAGAGGGAAAGGAGCAGGGCTGGGGGGGTGCTCATGACCCCCCCACTTACTGGAAAGAGGACAGGCTGCCAGACCTAGACCGAGGGGTTTGTTCTGCCCTAGCACCCAGGACATGGCCGTGCCCTAGGGATGCTTTGGCAATAGATGAGTGAATGCGTGAACCTTCCCATCTTGGCTTCTCAACCTGTATTACCAGAGCGATGTTTCCAGAACAGAAGTCACATCACTTGTGTGCACTGGGATGTTCCACGGCTCCCCAGCACCCAGCTCTGCAGCCACTGCGTCTCAGCAATTCCCTGCGCAGCTCAGCTCCGCCCACTGCACATCCTCACACCTGCTGTCCACCCAAGATGCCGTCCCCAGCCTGGCGCGCGCCCACCTCTTCCTGAACACCGCTGCCTTCCTTGTCCTTTTCTCCACGAAATTGGACAAAGGGAGCGGGGTGGTAAGGAGAAGAACTGGCAGTGGTCTGAGGCGGGGATCGGCATGGCTGTGGCTGGAACTGCGGAGCCAGGGGACGCGTGGACAGGAAGTGGTCCCAACTAAGGGGGGGCGGGCCCTCCGCTGAGGGCATGGGGAAGCCGTGGACACCTGTCCCTCCACACTGCAGACAGTTCATCCAGGGTGTGGGGCAGGGTTTCAGGAGAGCAATAGCAGGAGGGGAGGGACGAGCAATCCGGTGACAGCAGCCATGATGGTGGCTTGGGACCAGATGGTGGCCATGGTGATGGGGAGAAATGACCAGGCATCTGGTGCCACACCAAGGACGTCTGTTCAGCATCTCCCATGCTGTGTGCCCTGGGGGAGTCCCCCAGCCTCTCTGGTCTTTGCCGAGTTAGTGGGGGAAGGTCACTGGCTTGGCGTGGCCTGGCTGGGCTGGGGAGGCTCATCCACCCCAGCCTCCTGGTTGGCATCTGGGTGTCTTGGCTTGATTATCAGGTTTGGGCCTCATTAACACCAGCCGGGATTCACCCCCCCCCCCAGTGACCCTAGCTCCTGGCAGCCTGGGTGTGACATCCCGAGCTCTTCACACGCCTCTTCCCCCACCTGGCCGGCACAGCAGCCTCTCTCGCTGGCTGTCAGGAGCCTCTCCTTAGGGCTGAAACAATCTAAGGTATGGCCCGCCCCCCTGAAACCTTCAATGTCCTCTCATAACCAAGTCCAGCACCTGAACAATTCCTCCAAAACCCCAGTTCCAGCTCACTGATCCCCGGGCCTTATGCTGAGGGTCACTCCCCCTCCCAATGGTTCCACTTTCTGTGGGGTACATTGGTTCCCTGGGGGCACTATCTCCTTCCCTCTCTACACCCCCGATCATCTTTCAAGACCCAGCTCAGTGGCCTCCTCTTCCAGGAAGTCCTCCCAGATCCAGTTACCCACAATACATCTCTTGCTCCTTTTGCAGGTGACTCAAACCCTGGCCGAGTTAAACGTTTCTCTCCAAGTTCTGAATGGGCAGAGGGCAGGAACTATGACTCATCCCAACTGTTCTCCTCCTCCTCCTCCTTTCTTTTTTGGTACTGGGGCTCGAACCCCAGGACGTTGCCCTTGCTAGGCAAGTGCTTTGCCACTGAGCTACATTCCAGCCCATCACATACTGTTTTCATGGTATAATAAACCCAACGCCAATTCATGGCAATTGTGTATGGGATCCCTTGGACCACCTGCATCCCGTCACCCCCCCCCTCAATCCTCCCTCCCACCTTCCATAAACCCACAAGTGAGGTGCAGCCAGCTCGGGGATTTCTGACACCATATTTCCATCCTGACTCAAAGCCCCAGTCAGCAAAGCTGCAAGATGCCAGCGCCTCCCTAGAGCCCCTGGGCCCTGGCTTGAAACCGGAGCCCTGGAGAGGCCCTGCCAGGGCCTCCTGTTTAGAACCGAGGGCTCCGGGTGTTGTTCTGATTTATGGAGCCACGGGACCTGGCTTGTCTTCCTCCCTCCGTCATTCTGTCAGGAGTAAGCACTACTCTGCCACCTCGGCTACCTGCCCTTGACCTTCTACAGCCCCATCCCTGGAGGTTGGAGGTGGGGACGGGTCTGCTTTTATCAATGGCTACATCCATTCATTCACTCACTCAACCTGGGGCACTTCAGTGGCTCAGGGCAGGAAAGGGAAGGAGGAGGGGCACCTGCCTAAAATCAAGTCCCAGGGTGGCAGGTGGGCAGAAAGTCAGGGGCCTCTGTCCCCCACCCCTCTCTAGCTGTGCCACTTGGGACAAACACCGATGACCTGATCTCCCTGACTTCCTGTCTAATTCATGAAGGGCATCTATGACTCAGGCCTGCAATCCTAGCTACTCAGGAGGCTGAGATCTGAGGATTGAGGTTTGAAGCCAGCCTGGGCAGAAAAGTCTGTGAGATTCTGATCTCCAATAAACCACCAAACAGCTAGAAGTAGAGGTATGACTCAAGTGACAGAGTGCCAGCCTTGAGTGAAAATTCAAGCCCCAGTACCAGCATGAACAACAACAAAACCCCAAAGAACAAAATAAAAAATAAATCACATGTAAATTATTAAATAGAACTTGGGTAGGCTAGAAAAACATTCAGAAGGTTTCTGGGTATGAAATAACTGTTCAGAATGTTAGTGGGTAATTATAAGTAAATAATAACATCTATAAAAGGAAAAGGAGGGGAAGGAGAGAGAGCTCACTGTAGGGCATGGTCAAAGAAGGCTGCTTGGAGGAGGTGATGTGTGAGCTGAGCCCTGACTGATGAATGTCAGGCTTGTAGAGGTCTTGAAGGTAGTGTTCCAAGCAGCAGAGCAGCAGGAGCAGCAAGTGCAAAGGCCCTGAGGTGGGATGCCCAACAGTATGCATGGAGCCAGTGTGTGTGCAGGGGCAATGTCTAGGAGATGGCAGGGGAGCCCACCACATGCCCAAGCCCTTATCACCCAACACTGCACCTTCCACCTTCCTGGCCTTAGTCCTAACAAGATGGCTAAAAACAAACCTCCAGCCTTGCTGAAGCCAATTACAAGACAGAGAAAATCTGGAAGGACTTGGGGAGTGTCTGGGGAGAATTTATACCCTCTGGGATCTTTCCCAGGGCAGGATGCAAGTCTAGTGAGGTTTTCCCCAGCCATCTACCAAGCCAAGTCTAGGAACTGCCTTGGCCCCTCGGCCTTGGTCCTACAGGAAACGGCCAGCCCTTGACTTAGGAAACCCAAAAACAAAGAAAAGAGGAAGGAGGGCATCACCCCCACCTGCCACCGCAGGGATTCATTTTAAGTTCTGATGTAATCCGGAGACTGACTGTGAGACAGGGGACAATTGTTAATGGCCTCAGGGTACAGGCCCTGGCCTCTCCATCTGAGAGCAGTATTGGGGTGTTTATCCCCTTCCAGAGGTGGGAACCTGTTCTCTGCCAAGGGCCATTTGAACACTGATATAAGGGATGTGTACGCTGCCAGGGGCCCAGGAGAAGGATCTCCAGGCACTGGTTTGTGAGAGGGAGGACTGAGCAGCTTGGCTACTCTGTGCCTATGCTCCAAGGATGCCCTCCCTCCTCCTTCTCAACTGGGGAGAGGGGGCCTATGGATGGTCCAGGTCAAATCGGATGAGGACCCTGGCCAGGCCTGGTGAGGTAACAGCATGCAGCTAAAGGGATCATGGGGGAGAGTGGGCAAGGTGCCTAAAAGATGAGCATTTCAGGCCTAGTAAGAAGGGAGCATGCCGGCTGGGAAGGTGGCTTAGCGGTAGAGTGCTTACCTAGCACACATGAAGCCCTGGGTTCAATTCCTCAGTACCCATATCAACAGAAAAAGCTGGAAGTGGCAACGTGACACAAGTGGTAGAGTGCTAACCTTGAGCAAAAGCAGCTCAGGGACAGTGCCCAGGCCCTGAGTTCAAGCCCCAGGACTGGCAAAAAAGGAAGAAAGAAAAGGAAAGAAAGAAGGAAAGAAAGAAAAAAGAAAAAAGAAGGGAGCCTACGTATCTCTATTAATGATCACAAAGTATGTTCTCTAGGGGAAAAAAATCCCTACTTCCTCTGTGCATCTAACTATAACTTGTTGGGGGCTAGCCATCAGAATGAGGCTGGGTCAGCGCAAGTATCCCTGAAGGAGACTCCCGTAAGGGAGGGGTCACTCCTGTTGATCTGCTCTGCAGGCCAGGCTCCGGTGACCCCCCTCCCGGGCAGTACGAGGGCGGCGTATTCCCTAACTGTGGTTCTATTGTTGGACACAAGGACCTTCTTTGTCTTCTCTCTCTGATTGAGCCACATCTGGATCTCTGGAGGCCCATAGAGGTAAACTGATTGGCTTAGAGCCACACAAGGAGGTATAGGTGTAGCATAGATGACCACAAATCCTGCCTCTGTCCACAGCCCTAAGCCCCTCGCTATCAGGAAGTCAGCTCCAGCTGTGTTCTGTGGGGGGCTGTCTTGCCTTCACCCGGCCTCTAGGGTACATAAGGCCTGTTCACTCTCCTTTATGACTCCAAAGGAAGGATGGATCTGAACATGTCTCCCTCCCTAACTGGGCTCAGAGTCCCTTGCTTTCAGGGACCTGCATCTGGGCCCGGCAGGGCTCTGCGGGAAGCAGAAGGTCGAGTGGGAGTAGGTGAAGTTTCCATAGGCTTCTGGTCGGGGGGGAAGGACATTAAGTCCACCTGCAGCTTTGGGGTTCCAGAGAATGGAGCAGAGGGGACAAGCATACAGTGAGGTCAGACAGACCCGCATCCTGTGTGTCGTCGGGCAAATGGCTTCATCTCTCTGAGCTTCACTTCCCCATCCACCAAATGAGGCGATCCAAGAACAACGTCCAGCATTAGGGGAGGGTGAGTGGTGGTGGCTTGGTGCCACCACCTCCTGCTACGATGGGCTCGATGTTAGGGATTGTATTAGGGGTCCTGGCGGAAGTCATGTCTCTGGGTTCCAGAGCAGGGGGCCTTCTGTTAGACTGGTGACCTCAGCTGGTGGGGAGCAAGCTGTTGGGAGACATTTGGGTGATGGCTGGTGGCATCTCGTAAGTGGAGACCAGGGAGGCCTCTGAGTGTCCCCTCCATGGAGAATTCTCCACCCACCCTGAATGTGATGGGGCTGAGGAGCCCTGATCTAGACCTGGGTTGTGGAGGACACTGAGGGCTGGCACTGGTGCCTGCAGAGAGCATGCAGCGGGACGCTGCAATGTGCAAGCCAAGCACATGTCAGGTTTCAGACTGAAGGTGAAAAAAGGTGATCTTCCCATCGATCACATACTGAAATGGCGAGATTTCACGTACATCAGGTGAAATGAAATGTAATAGGAAACATACCTGTTGACCTGGTTTACCAGGTAAACCTGTTTACCTGGGTGCTGTCTCTGAGCTCTTTTGCTCAAGTCTAGTGCTCTACTACTTTGACCCACAGTGGTTTTCTGGTGGTTAATTGGAGATAAGAATGTCACGGACTTTCTTGCTCAAGCTGGCTTTTGAACCATGATCCTTAAGTCTCAAACCTTCTGAGTAGCTAGGATTACAGGCACGCGTCACCTGCAACTGGCTAACTTTTTTTATTCTTTATTTAAAAAATATTTCAATTCTGAGAGAGAGTCTGGGCTCTGTAGTCCAGGATGGACTTGAACCCATGCTTACCCTGTGGTATTGACTCTTGGTGGTGGGGGAACCTCAGGTTGGGTGTCTTAAGGGAGAAGGGAACCATTACACTTCTGCCCCCTGTTTGAGAGAGGTTGAGTTGGCACCTATGCCACTCTGTTCTCGCCAGGCTGGGCCTCTCTCAGCCAGGACAGGGTAAGGTAGGGGGTCTTGAGCATAGTCCCCCTTTTTGCTCTCCACTCCCCACTGGGGCTTCTGGGGCAGCACCCAAAGTGCTTGGACAAGCAGGCGGGTACAGTGACAGCTGTGGCTTAAAAACCTGAGCGCCCTGGCTCTCAGCCTTCTTCCTGCTGGTGCCCAGTTCAGAGCTGGGGGTGGAAAAGGGAGGGGCACGCTTCCAGGTCACTGGCGCCTGGACCGACTCCCATGTTAGGTTATGACCCTCAGGGACAACCCAGGCCTCGCTGAGGTTTACAGGTGGGACAGCTAAGGTGAACACTGAAGCAGAGGCCAGGGGTGGAGGAGGGGACAGAGGCCCTGGAGCTGGATAGTATGTATCAATGTGGCCAGCACTTGCTGTGGAGGAGGCCAGAGACTGGGCAGGTGGGCAGGGCTGCTGGGGCCACAGGAATTGAAGGAGAGAGTGGGCATGGGAGGGCATGGGGAACACCACAAGCGTGGGGTTGGAGGGAGCCTGGGAGAGTCAGGTCACTCCATCTTTGAGAACAATAAGGCCCAGGGAAGATAGGGAACCCACACAGGTCACCCACACATGAATCCACCTCCAGTACCACGTGTCCCTGGGCCCAGCCCTGAGCCCACACTTTAATGCTTGTAACAAGCTCCAAATGTGGCTCAGCCCCCAGCATGACCCCACAAGGAGCTGGTCCTAACCCCCACTCACAGGGGTCACACCTTCCCCAGACCCCACCCCCACACTGCACTTGGCCGGTCCTTGAGGCTGGAGGCAGTGGCGGAGCCCTACCCTCTGTGCTTGCAGTCCCAGGAATCCCGCAACCTCCTCCAGGTCTGTGGACAGAGAGGAGAGCAGGGGGACAGGATCCTGAATCTGGCGTGCCCTTAAAGACCCCCACCCTGGCACCCTGAATCCCGGGGCCTCCCCGATGAAGTCAGGGAAGCCATCTGGGGACATGGAGCTCACAGCCAGTCCTTGGGGACAGCAGCCCCCATAGGGTGAAACTGGAGCCCTAGCAACCCCCAGGGCCAGATTCCACCGCGGGGGCAGTTCCCCTCTGGTCCTACCCTGTCCCCAGAAAATCTCTAGAAGGTTCTCCGGAGTGGGACAGAGCGGTGGAGTGGAGTCTAGGCCGGGCCAAGGGGAAGTGAAAGGGAGGTGGGTGGAGGAGCTTGAGAGGCCCTGGTGGGAGGGGTGGGGAAGCCTGGGGCTGAAGGGAGGGGTCGCGCACTGGGGCCGCATCTAGGTGGGGGGGGGGAACGGATGGGGATGTCGGGGGGCCAGCCGCAGCCTGGGGACTGTCAGCTTTCCGCGCCCCCCAGTGTCTCTGCAGCTGGAGTCGGGCTGCGGAGGCTCCAGGTCCCGGGAGCCTCCCCGGAGCCGCGGCCGCAGGCGGAGGGGGCCGGCCGGCCCGGGGGCGCGCGGCGCCCGGCTCACCTGCAGAGCCCGCGCGGCTCACCTGTACACGTCGGTCCAGAGCTGCGTGCCCAGCACGTACACCGCCTCCACGCGGCTCCCGTACTGCAGCCGCACCGTCCGCCCGCGCAGCATCTTCTCCCGCGGGCTCGTCCCGGGTGGGGCCCCGGGCACCTGACTCAGGTGAGCGCACAGGTGGGCGTGAGCGAGCGCTCGGGTGGGTGAGCGTGCAGGCCAGCGCGCAGCCGCCGTCCGCCCCTCAGCGGCCGGCGCTCTTATCGGCCGCCTGGGGGGCGTGGCGTGGGCGTGGCGTGGGCGGGGCCTGCCGCCGCCGCCCGCCCTCAGGGGGTCGCGAGCCCGTCCGTCAAGCGTGGCCACGCCCTCCCCTGCTCTCGCGCCCCTCCCTCCCCACACCGCTTCCCGGGGTGATGTCTGCAAGCAATTTTTCTTTTCTTTTCTATATTTGGCTTATGACTTCTCCCATTCAATAAACCCCGTCTGCCCTCCGGATCCCCCAGCTTAGTGGGGGCGAGGCATGCAAAGGAACTGCCACCAGAGGGTCCGCAAGGTGTGGGGGTGCCTAAGTCACTCTGAACCCGGGGGGGGGGGGGGGGATGGCGGCGGGCGCAGGGCTGGCAGAGCCCACAGCTCCGGGGTGGGAGTGGAGGGCCGGGCCCCGGGCCACCCCCACCCCCGGAGCAGACGAGCTGGCCGAGGGCCGGGAGGAGGGGGGCGGCCTGAACCGTGTTTATGGATGGAGATTTGGGTGGCACCCGGTGGCGGGCGGGACGTCCGGGGAGGGGTAGAGGGCACGAGGATCAGGGCTGGGCGCAGGGAATGTCCGTGTGGAGGCCAGGGGCGGGTGACACTTGCAGGGGATCCGAACCACTCCCTGCCCCCCTGTACCTGGCGCGAGGCTGGAGGAGGGGAGGCCTAGAAGGAGGGGTGGGCGGAGGCCGCGAGGGGAGGGGGTGGAAGGGGCGCGTGTTACAAGGGAGGGGGAGGATGGGGGCCCTGGGAGGCCCAGGAAGGGGAGAGCTGGTCTTAAGAGGCACACCAGCCCCCTCCATTCCCACCTTGCCTCCCAGGAGCCCAGATTAGGAGCTGGTGAAGAGTCCAGCTGCTCCTGGTAGCCGGCTCTGGGAGGAATGTGAGTGTGGAAGGCGGGGAATAATGAATCCTGGGGCAGGGGAGCCATTGCCCCCTCCAAGGCATAGGTGCAGAGAGCTAAGGAAAAGCAAAACTTCTGATTGGTTCCCAGCGCCCTCCTCCCTGCCCCTGAGGACACTTCCGCCAATCAGGCGACAGCTGGTGCACTGCCACCTGTCAGAGCTGCTGGTGAGGCCTGTAGGGGTGGACACTGGTCTGGGCACCCCTTGCTGGGAGCAACTTTATTTTAGTTAATTCATTAACGTGCCTGTCCTAGGGCTTGAACTCAGGGCCTGGGCACTGTCCTTGAGCTTTATTTTTGCTCAAGGCTGGTGTTCTACCACTTGAGTCACAGCTCCACTTTTGGCTTTTTGGTGTTTCTTTGGAGATAAAGAGTCTCATGGACTTTCCTGCCTGGGTGGGCTTTGAATCGTGATCCTCAGATCTCAGCCTCCTGACTAGATAGGATTACATGTGTGATCCACCAGAGCCCAGCAAGGGGATCTCCCTTTAATGCCTGTCTGTGACCAATAACTGCACATATGCAGATTCTGCCCTTCCCACATCTCACCCACTGGGAAACAAGGCTCTAAAGTGGGGTGAGGTCACGGGGTCATTTATTGTCCCCCTCCTTCCAAAGCAGAGGCAGGTCATGACAGGATCCATGGCAACATTAGGCAAAAGCCATGATTCCAGCAAAGCAGAATCAACCCCTGGGTTCTCACAAGTGCATGCTTTCTGTGCCTCAGGTGCTGTTCTAGGCAGCACTTCACCCATGACACCTTGGGCACATGCACCCACGGGTACATAGAGTGTGGGGAATTACTCCTGGCTGCACAGTTGCTGAGGTGGCAGAGCAGGACAAAACTCCAGGCCATGGGGATGAAGGCAGGAGTGGGGCAGGTGAGGATAGTGGTTTTGGTCCATGTTTTGCCACTTGTCCTACCATTCAGAGCCCCATATTCTACATCTGCAGATGAGGTGAGCTTAAGGATGTTATTAAATGAGATGGAAAGGTCTAGAACATTCTGGAAGAAGCTGGCCAGAGAGGAGCACTTGGGAAACAAAGCCCTCGGCCCTTACACAGTTCAATCGTGTCTAGCAGTCTTCATTCAGGGCTCCAGGCCTGGGCTCTGGCTCACCCTGCTGGCCTTAGTGCTTGGGTGACCGGGCAGGAGTTTGCTGGTGCCCAAGGGTTTAAAAATAACTGGAGTGGTCACAGCTGTTGGTGGATTCAAGGCCGGAGGTCTCACACACCATGGCTATGCTCGCCCACTCTGCCCTTCTCCGGGGGGGGGGGAGGGACAGGCAGAAAAGCCAGCAGGAATCTCATGGTGCCTTTTGGGGACTGCCAACAAAGGGCAGGCTTAGCTCCAGCCAGTTCCCGGCATTGATGAACTCCCCTGCCCCCAACTCCTGCCCTTGCCAAGCGGGAGGGCATAGTGCCTGGATGGGGAGGGGGCTCATCTGCACTGTCCCCTGCTGTGACCCTGGGGGGGTCACTGGGAGTGGGGAGCCTGGTTGGAAGGTGACTAACGCCCCACAGGCCTGCTTCAAGCAGATGGACAGCTCACCCAGGGTACCATACAGGCAGGAATTTAGAAAGAAACTTACAAGTCAACACCCAGTACGATGGCACAGGACCTGCCGCTGAAGAAGACCCCTGAGCAGGTTTTTGAGTTGGGTCTGGCAGGGCTTCTCCAGATGCACACGATGGCGGTAAGGAGTGATCACACTGGCTGAGCCCGGTGCTGGGCCGGGAGTGGCCTGCAGAGCTGCCCAGGCCTGCGCTCATTTCTCCTCACACCAACCCTATGCCGCGAGGATGGTGTCAGCCTGGATTTGCAGAGGTGCCAACCTGCCTAGCAGACTTGGGGTCAGGTCTGGCTCACCCCTTTGCTAGCTGGGGTCCCCTTGGAGCCTCGGTTCCTTCCCCGGAAATGGAGGCAGATGTTCCCCAGCCTTTATGATCACAGGAAAGAAGAAGATGCGGAGTGAAGTGCTGGGCGCACTGTGGGCTGGCCCAGAGCCATGGCCTCGCCCCAGGGGGCGCATGGGCAGGGATTGGAAAGCTTTGTAGAAGGGGCCTCTGGCTGGCATTGCCATTAGAGGCTCTGTGGTGTGAGCCAGCGCCCAGGCTTCCGGGCTTGGTCTCATAGTCACGGGAAGCCACAGGAGGACTCTGGAATCCAGCGATGGCACGGCATGGGCTTTAGGGGAATCAGTCTGGCTGATTCAGATGGAATAGAGATTCTGGCAGGAGACCAGAGAACCAGGCCATGGTGCCCTGGACCTTGGCGACCCCCGAGGGCACCGTGACATGCACACACTGGCCCACAGCAGCAGCAGCACCGCATGCTCCCACCCCCTCTCCTCCCCACCAGCAAAGAAATGCCACCCCCTGGTCCCCTTGGGAGAGGGCTCTTAACTGCTTTGAGCCCCAGCCCTCACCCTGAAGGAACTTTCACTGGGGTGGTGCATGGGGGTGGCGAGGGTGGCTAGGTGAAGCTTTGCTCTAATGCCATATGTGGGTGTGCTCAGAGTGAGCATGGCTGGGGCATCTATCTGTCTGTCTGTCTGTCCATCTATCCATCCCCACTCCGGATATGTGTGTGTGTGTGTGTGTGTGTGTGTGTGTGTGTGTGTGTGTGCACATGGGCGCAGTAGAGCTTGAGCTCGTCCTAGGTGTTATTCCTTAGCTTTTTTGCTTAAAGCTGCTGCTCTATCGCTTGAGCCACAGCTCCACTTCTAGCTTTTTTTGGTACTTAGTTGAAGATAAGAGTCTCACAGACTTTCTGCTCAGGCTGGCTTTGAAACAGAATCCTCGGGGGCTGGGCAGTGGCTTAGCGGTAGAGTGCTTCCCTCACATGCATGAGGCCCTGGGTTTGATTCCTCAGCACCACACAAGCAGAAAAAGCTGGAAGTGGCGCTGTGGCTCAAGTGGTAGAGCACTAGCCTTGAGCTGAAGTGCTCAGGGACAGTGCCCAGGCTCAGAGTTCAAGTCCCATGACCAACCAAAAGAAAGAAAGAAAGAAAGAAAGAAAGAAAGAAAGAAAGAAAGAAAGAAAGAAAGAAAGAAAGAAAGAAAGAGGAAGTGGAGTTACAGCTCAACATGGTAGAGTGCTTGCCTTGAGTGAAAAAGTTCAAGGACAGCACCCAGGCCCTGAGTTCAAGCTCCACGACTGACCAAAAAAAAAAAAGAAAAAAGAAAAAAGAAAAAAAGAACTTTAAATATGAAGAAAGAAAGAGAGAGAGAGAAAAACAGAATCCTCAGATCTCAGCCTTGTGAGTAGCTAGGATCACAGGCATAAGTCATCAGTTTCTGGCTCTATCTATCTATCTATCTATCTATCTATCTATCTATCTATCTATATGTTTATCTATCAAGGGTTTATTTTTATTTTTTGTCGGTCATGGGGCTTGAACTCTGGGCCTGGGCACTGTCCCTCAGCTCTTCAGCTCAAGGCAAGCGCTCTACCACTTGAGCTACAGCACCACTTCCGGTTTTCTAGTGGTTTATTGGAGATAAGAGTCTCACGGTCTTTCCTGCCCGGGCTAGCTTTGAACTGAGATCCTCAGATCTCAGCCTCCTGAGTAGCTAGGATTATAGGCATGAGCCACCAGCGCCTGGCTTCAGGGGTTTATTTTTAAGGCTTACATTATGTCTTTGTGGGTCAGACAGGCTGGCTAGCCCCTAGGTATAGCAGATGTTTTGGTCTTGAGTTGGATACACAGGCAGGGTTTCTGTGCTGCATCTTTGGGGCAGAATTTTATCTTCTTTGGACAGTCAGTCCTTGCTCTGAAAACCTGCAACACATTGGATGAGGCCTACCTACATTCTGAAGGGCAAGCTGCTTCACTTGAAATCTAGTGATTAAGTGTTAAACACATCTAAAAAGTATGGGCATCCTTATATCTAGATCAGAGTTCAAGTTGACTCATGCAATACCATAGCCTAGTCAACTTGAAAAAATTGACCATCACATGTGGAAACGTGGACTGAGGTTTCTGCTTCATCAGCTCACCATTTATGGAACATTTATTT